TAATTATTTTATGAAACCGTTGGTTTTGCCCAATAAAGTTGAAAAAAGGGCTTTTTTAAAAATTTGTCCTTTTTTTTTTTCATGAAACCCATTTTAGCCTAAAATCTCCTAAACAGATTTCAAGTCGTGAAATGTGATTCAAACAACCCATTATAAAAAAAACTTCTGCTCGAGTTACCTATTTTTAAAAAGAGGCAATAGTACAAGTTAAAATTTTTCAAGACAATTTAATTATTGAGGAAACTAAATCAACCATGTGAGCACAGGCATAATGCTTGTGGAAGTAAGGAGGAAAAAAGAGGAACTTGACTCCTCTCTCCTGACAAAGCAAGGGAAGCTGTGCTTTTAATCTAAATCGTTTGATTATCTAGTGAGTGGTATTGATATATTTTAAACCTAATATTATTACATTGTATTTATTTTTTATTTTTTATTAATTTGCCTACTTGTTAATACGGTTTAACAAAGAAAGTAGATCTTGGCAAATGGATAATGACTGAGTAGGGATTATGATTTTTGGACATATTTGTTTGAGTTGTTGTTGCTTATCGAGTTAAATGCAATTGTCAAGACTTGTCTGGTTCGTACAAAAAATTTAAGCGCATTGATAGCTACAGAAGAGAAGAATCGTTGCAATGGGAGGTTATTTCAGCGGTCATAAAGAAACGATGATTTCCTCTCTCTTTTTATTTGATGGGGAAGTATAACTGACGAAAGAAACTCAATGGAAAAAATCTAATCGAGCATTGTTCCGTCATTTTTTTTCTTGGTCCTCATGAATATGTATTAAGAACCTAATATTGAGTGCTACATTTTGCTTAGCGTTACGTAAAAATATGTCACATTTACATCAAGGGAGGGGAGGGGAAAGGCGATGCCTTGATTCAACGTTGCCCTCCTTATAATTAAGCGTGAAATGGGCCCAAATAGTCAGAGTTGAACTATATATATATATATGTTGATCATAAAATTTTAAGATTGCGTCTTCATGATCAATATTTATATAGACTAATTTACTGGTTTGCTCACAAAATTTTTATGCAGCGAAATTACGTAACTACTAGTGTACTATATTAATTAAATTAAATCTAAAACGATCAAAATGTCCAGCCGAAGAAAATTTTGAGATTTTCTTTCATTACCAAAAAGACCGTCTCTTAAACAAAATAAAAAAGTGCAACAGCAATCACATAATGTACTTTTAAGTATTATTATATCCACATGGTAAATACAAATTACAAGCCAGTAGAAAAGTTGTGAAATACGCAAATATTAAGTACACAAATGTTTAGTCAAGAATATATATGACTTTTATATAAGTTTATTTAAGTATTTTGTGCGTAAATCAGGGATCGAGATTACTTCCAGCAACATCGATCAACAACAAATCGATACGATATCTCACATCGTTGTGCTCGAGCCTTTCGAAATTAAGCTAATTCATTCGCTTGATCCATCTTTATCATTTCAATCATGGACGTTAATCCTTTAATTTCTTCCCACAAATTCCCAATGCTAGCTTCTTGTGTTTTCTCCATGCTCCCTAAATATGAAGCTCCCTGTTAATCATTTTCCTCCCTCTAACAACACAAAAAAAAAATTAAGGAACGGGTTAATTAATTGTGGCCAAATTGCGGATACACCCCATGCATTTAATTCTGTGTTGCCAATAGACCCTCTACATTCTCAAATTTGTTAGTTTCGCGGTGCAAGTCTAGAGTAACCCAATCGATCTCAATCAAAATGATCGATGACAGCTTCAACTTACCTGCCATAATATATAACAGGTCTAGAGAACTTTATGAATTGGCTCATTAATAAACCCCATCATAATCAACTAATAATTAATTTCCCATTATCCTTGAGCAAATCCAGATAAGACTACAATATATGCAATCATCGGCTTAAGCTAGGGCTATGCATGCAAGCCGAACCCTATAACCAGAATCTCACTTCCTCTCTCAATAATCTCACAAACGCGCATCATCGTGTCGATAATGTAGTCCAAACTAACTATCAATTGCGTGAGCCATCTTAGCCTCATCCGGGCTAACCAAGTACGTGGCCTCCATCTTCTTCTGATCTCCGATGAGCTTGTCACCGTGACGTGGTGGGCCGGCCCATCGCCTTGGCGATCTTGGCTCCCATGAATCTCCGATGAGCTTGTCACCGTGACGTGGTGGGCCGGCCCATCGCCTTGGCGATCTTGGCTCCCATGAATGCGCCCCCGACTCCTCCTAAGTGTAAGGTGAGAGAACTCCTAAGTGTAAGGTGACTAATAATGAATTTTCCAAAATAATATCTATGTTATCAAGCATTAAATTTCATTTTTCCTACGTCAATGCATCATCATTTCCATATATACCGGCTAGCTTTAGGAAAATTCATTAATTTTCTTTTTAATACCTCACTTATTACTGCAGCTACATTCCTAGCTTGTATTATGGATATCTCTCCTCTCTTTAAATCACAAGACTTTATACGCAAATGCTTAACTTACCCAGGCGACCGTCGATATATCGGCATTCCGAGGGTGATTCTTGGTCTGATGAATATCAGTATGACAATTAATTCCACAATGTAAACACTCACCACATCGATCCCCAGGTCCAGTTGGCATGCAGGTAAAATTTTGAATTTAGAAAATAGAAATAAATAATGTAAAGCCTAATTAAGACATTAATATTCAATGTTGTTATAGTTACGGTACCTCATTGAGTAGGTGTAAGGTGAGAGAACACCTGAGGGATCCTTTTGCGGCCCATGCTGTGACAATTCTCTCTGTGGCAAATTAATTATGCTGCCCATTTTTCCCTTGGAAAATTGCGAAGAGGAGAAGAAGAAGAAGAAGAAGATCAACAGAGAGATGAGTTATTTTGTCTATATAATTTGCTTGTTCAGCTCCAGATTTTGGTTATGGCGTGTACGTGCACATATATATGAGTTTTGCTATTTGGCTCGCGGGGGCCATAGGACTTGGGCAGAGAAGCCGGGGGTAGGGACACTGCCAGTGGCGGAACCGGGAATTCAAAAATAGTTACTAACACTTTCTTCTTAATTAACAGTGTATGGAAAATCTGTATGTTTGTACACTTTAAGAGGACATAGCGATCATTATAATTGATCCATTAATAGACACCTCTTCGCTATGTATCAATACACTTGATCCCTTCTTTCAAAAGAAAAAAAAAAGAAAAAAGGAAAAAAAGAAGCAATTGATCCCGACGGCTAAACATGTCATCTGAAATTTGATCGTTTTGTTTCTAAATAGCCTCCACGAAAAATCACAATCATTCGCTGAACGGTAGCCACACCAGGATTGAAAAAAATGTACATGTTTCGCCTCAGTAAGAAAGTATCTAATTCACAAGGATCGTGTTGGATAGTTGTATTCCTAATCTATTAGGATTCCTAATCTATTTTGGTAACATGAGGTTATTAAGATTCCTAATTTGTTTTGTTTTTGGTTTTAGGATTCCTAGCCTGTTTTGGTTTTAGTTTTTCTATATATATGGAGATTAGAATCAAGCATTAAAGGGAGGAGAGTTGTAATTAGAGATTAAAGAGACTTTTGAGCATTATGAGAGAGAGATATTGTGAGCAAGTTGAGAGCTTTGGTTGATGGTTAGTTTGTGAGTTTTGTGAGATTGTAACCCTTTGTACTCTCCTTGATTTAGTGGAATCTTCCCATCCTCTCATTGTTGACGTAGACAATTTTCCGAACCACGTAAAATTATTTGTCTCGCTATTTGTGTGATTTGTAATAGTTTATTTAGGTTTCCTCGACAAATCAGTACTAGAACTGATGAGAGGAAGAGCTGATATCTCACTTTGTTGAGATATTTTGCTTAAGATTCTTGTTTCCTTTGTGAAACGAGAATTCCTATTGTGAACTGACTCTCTTGTTGTGCTGCCGAAGTGCTTCCGAAATTTCCGCTGTGCGCAACAGGTCGATCATGCCCAATTTCCTGTACCTTTAATTTGTTATCTAATAAACAAAATATAAATAACAAGGCTAGTTGATGAGCAAGTTTGCCACCTTATATGTTTGATAGCTTGATTTCGAGCAAAAGAGTGGCTCTACTTTGTTGAACTATCACAAATATTAGATACCATGGTCAAGATTTTGATTAGACGTGGATTTGTTCTTGAGGAATTATTCCATTTATTTTAGGTGGAGAAAGATCAGCAGGTGACAAAAGTCCAAAAGGCCGGAAGTGTTAAACATATTTCAGGCTTTAGCTAAACAAGCTTAAAAAGCCTAACAGCAACACTTTAGGCGGCTTCAACTGCAAAAAAGGCCCATGACAATCATTATCAACGGACAACGAAATGAAAGGAAAAATGTATATATTATATGCATAAATCCTAATATGATCATGATATATAAAAAATAATTCTCTTTTAATTTCCATAAAAAAAAACGCTTTGGATCTCTTATCTATCTGTTGTTCCTTTGGTATAGTTGTGATCTATAAAGATTTTAACGCCGGATTGTCGCTCAATTGATCCTTCATTGTTTCACAAAAAATAAATTTCTGAATACGTACTTCAGTTTTAATTAAGTATTAGAAATGCTGTAAAACAAACAAGTTAACAATAATTTCTAGAAAATTAGAGGTATGTTATGTTTAGAATAACTACACAACATTTATTTATTTATTTATTTTTTCCCCAAAGCAATCCCGAAATGGAGACGGGTACCATTTGCATCATATATGAGAATGAAATGAATGGAGAGGGAGTCTTTATTATTCGCATAATTAAATAGAGTTTAAAAAGCTCGTCATATCGCTTTGAAACGTGAGACGACTACATTCATACGGGAACCATTCAACTAAAACCAAAGAATCGTATTTATAGTAAACTAAAGTTTCCTCTGACATTAATGAGGCAGCCATTTTGCCGTTCGCTTAATAAGAAAAAAAGTGGGGGAAAATGATTCATATATATATACAATAAATTAATTCATCATATATAAGTACATAACCATGAACGTAACTAGCTAGCTTGTTCTTCAATGGCCAGTACCCGGACTCGGACCGGAGTTCTTGATCGCACCCAAAGCTAATGAATCCATTACAGCGTCCAACCCCTTCTTGATGAATCCCTCACCGACCTTCCCCATCAAAGGCCTACTCGCCTCTGATTTTGAGAGAACAAACAGAGAAAGAAAGAAAACAAGAACCAAACGCTTCAAGAACTTTGAGCTTGGATCCATAATTTCCTCAAAAAATGTTGAATATTGTTGGTTGGTTACTCTATCTAGAATAGGATTCTGATCATCGGTATATATACACACACACACGAGGATTAACGATGAAGTGAGCTTGAAACACGTGGCAAAATGAAGAAAAAAGGCTTATTTTATTTCATGCGAAGAATAAAGTTTGATGACTCGTGAGTCGTGACTCGTGGGCTTTGAAATGTTTTGGACGAGCCAACAACCAGCACGTTTTAGCTGCCGAAAGTGCGAATATAGCTTAATTTTGACTCGAGAGAGAGAGAGAAAATCACGTACGAAGAAAGAAAATCCTAGCTAGTCACAAAAAGAGGGGCCCACCAAAACAAAACCGCATAGAGAGAAGATTGCTACAAGTAGCTAGGGTTGCACAAGATATAGCCATATACCACAAAATGTCCGTATCCGTTAGATTACAAATATAGTTACCAGAGTCTATAGTCGATAGAATGCGGTTATGGATTTGGTTATACATTGAAATATCCAGATTCATATTCGGGATCTTGAATATAAATTGGTCATGCTATTGCAACAATTTTAGTTTTTAGATTAATGGATTTGAGGTTAGTTTTAATGATCAATATATCTAATATTATTAGTTTTCAGATATAATAAACATATTGACGAGGTCTCCTTTTATCATACGCACTATAAATTTTACGATATTATTTAGTTTTCTCATGCCGTTTTGTAACCGTATGTATATTCGCTCATATAATTGCATGCATATATGTATCTGATTTTAACGGATATGGATATGAATTTTCTTTACTGGGCTACTTCCGTATCTGTATCAATGTTTAGTAAGCAGATACAGACATGATAAATATAATATCCGACCATTATTCGAATAGTATGTACCCCTACCCTACAACAAGTGTGCGGCCGGATTGTACGGTAAAATGGTATAATTACACTCATGTTGCATGCTGGAGAGCCTATAAGTAGGATTTTCCTAAAGTTTTTGTTTTGGTTTGGTCCACGTTCAAATCATAAATGCTTTTCTTTGTCCTTGTTTTGAACAAATGGCAACATGGCATGTTTTTTTTAGTAAGGAGCTTGGCCGTCCAGTCCAGATTTGGACTCTTGGACTCGTGCGAATTCAATGAAGTGGTTGATCGCATAAAAAGTCAGGTGATGAAAATATTGATAGTCCAAGATTTCGTTTGGCTCGTGGATTGTTCTTGTTTTGTAGAAAACTGAAATTGAATGTACTTAGTAGTAAATTTTAATTTGCAGAGAAAACATTTGCAATTATAATTTTTCACAACCGTAGCTAGAGAATAAGGTTAACTTTTGCAGAAACAATTTGGCACGTAAAAGGATGCATATAGGCCAAGAGTACTAAATATTGATAAAATAATATTGTGACGTAGAATATTTTTGACATAGCCACATTCCTTTTGAGTTTTGATAAGGGAAGCACTCTTTTAAGTTTTTTTTTTGTGGAAGTTAAAGTTTAAAATCCATGAAACTATCGTAATGTAGAATCTAAAAGGGAACCAAAAAAGAATTTGGATTCTTTCCACTATAAAAAAAATAGTGAAGAGACCACTATTTTTAATCTCAATCGTTGATTACTTAGTAGTCGATTATTGTACAATCTAAATCTAACACTCACCGTAGCCTCGTGTATTACACCCATTTCTAATTTGCACTCAAAGAAAAAATCATAACAATCAACTAGATAATTAATAATTGTGATTATGTAGTGGTTCCTTCATTACTCTTAGACGGTGGACCGGAGAGGATCCGAATCCACCAAATGAAACGTAGAACTGGAATTTTGTACGTGAAAACCTCATGGGCTGTGCTATAGGGGGCTGGCTCATCGGGCCATGAGTACCTAAATCCCATAAACCTGGCCCAATTTACCGGTGAATCCCCCGTAACCTGGCGACTTCGTCTCGCGGTTCCAGCAGGTAACCTCGCCGCGTGTCAACCTGTGATAGCCGGTGAGGTCCTGCTTCGTGTGGCGATTAGAGATCGAGCGCACTCTTTTCTCCGGTCACCCTTTAATTTGTTCTCTCTAGGGCACGGATCGCCCGATCCTCGTCGGAGCTCGCCGAATCTTACAGGTCTTCAAAAATCTCACCTCATCTCGTTTGAATCTGAAGCCTTTTGATATTTCTCCTCTTATTTCGATTCTATCGTCTTCTTTTGATCTATCGCGTTAAAAGTCTAGGGTTTGAATACATTTAGATGCGATCTCTAGTAGGAATGTTTATCCTTCTGAGGAATTTTGGATCAAAGAAATGATTTTTTTTCGTGATTCAAAATCTAGGGAGAATCTGATGGCCGCTGGAAGAGGAATCAACCAGATACTGAGAAAGAAATTCAGTTTTCAGACTTCGGTGCGTCTCCCCACATTTTCTTTTACTTTTCTATTTACAGGCGATTAACTATCTTTTAGCAATCCTTTAGATGTGAGCTAGTGAGGATCAAGGCGTTTATACTAATAAAGGATTTTTGTTTTTTGGGGTTATTTTTCTTCAATTCTAGGTTTTCATTGGCGCGTGACATTTTGGATAGAATTAGTATGTTTGTCGGAGTTATTTTACCAATTAAACCTAATGTCGTGCTAAATATTTCATAACAATGCACAGTATATTCTGTACTTAGCTAATTAATGTGTGTTTGTTTTATCTATGTTTGGTACACAAGGTCACCTCGTGCTGTTCAACTTAGACACAGAAGTGTTGAACATCGGAACCCTCCAATTCATGTTGGCCGCATATGTGTTTTAAGCATGCTTTTTCTTCAACTTGTACATGTATCCGGTTGGTATCCAACAAAAAGAAGATTAAATTGGATCGATGATGTATAAATTATTGGCTTTTTGTTCGTGGGGTCAAAATATGCTTCGTTCCTTACATGTTTTTGAGGCGAACAAGGAGTTTTACATTTTGTAAAACCTTGGAGAACGCACCCCTAAATTTAGCTATTAGTGGAAGAAAACCTAGTGCTACCGTCTCTTTATTTGTTTAATGTTGGGCTGATAGACCTAGTGTACCACGATGCTTTTGCCGCATATATCCGCAAGTAATGATGGATACTCCAAATTTCAGTCTGCATAAGTGTCCTCCATATACTACTCGTTTTATACTCTACTTGTGAGCTGGAGATATTGTTCCTTTGGGGTGATCGTTTACGCACTTTTTCTTCATTTCAGTTAATGATCTATGGTAACATTCAATATGTTTTTATCATTTACTGGTCCAAATATATAATTGGTCATGGTATGGAATAAATAAAATCTTCGTAGTTTTTGTTACCGTGTACATTTTTATTAGATATGGTTTCTTGACAATCAAGAACCTTAATGACCCTGTTTACTCAACATGTTCACCTTTTGACAACAAATTCTTCCAATATTATTGTAAAATTTTGTTTTAACTGCCAGATTACATGACTATATAATATTATTTCACTTTTAAGTGTCATGTTAACATAATTATTAGCTTGGTTGTGAACTGAGAGGACTGATTCTTGGAAATGCGGTATTGTTTTCATATCAATAGGCTACTGCATCTGGTGATTTTGTCTGCTAATATGTTCTTCTTTACTATGCAGGCATCATTTCTATCAAAGCAGGAACAAGATGCTACTGCATCTGCTGGTGTGAAGTCTCTAAGAGCATTGGCACTCTTTGGAGCTGGTATTTCTGGAATTTTGAGCTTCTCTACCATAGCATCTGCTGATGAAGCAGAGCACGGTCTCGCATGTCCCAGCTATCCTTGGCCTCACGAAGGCATTCTTAGTTCCTATGATCACGCATCGTGAGTATTTGACTGATCATCGTTATGGAAGCTTACCTTATTATTTATTCTTCTAGATATAAAAAAACTCCTCAATTATAGAAGATAAATTATCTTTCACAAGTAAACATGTTAATCGTTCTAGATATTCTTTTTTTTATTTATATTATAACATAGAATTAACTGATGTTTCTCAGAGACTCTAGGTGCATAATTAGGTATAGCAGCCTTCATGTTCTTGAGAAAAAAAAAATTCAGATATACTTGCATGGTTACGTGAGTTAGAAACAAGCTGCAAGTTTTTTTGTAGATCAATGGACAGATATAGATTACCTTTAGTTGTCAGCAACATTACATTCTTTTTAGATACTTGGCCTACCTGACACTTCACTTTTTGACTGATCTGAACAGCATCCGCCGTGGTCACCAAGTGTACCAACAAGTTTGTGCTTCTTGCCATTCCATGTCTCTGATCTCATATAGAGATCTTGTTGGTGTAGCATACACTGAAGAGGAGACAAAGGCTATGGCTGCTGAAATTGAGGTGGTTGATGGTCCTAACGATGAAGGTGAGATGTTTACTCGTCCTGGTAAATTAAGTGATCGGTTCCCTCAGCCATATACAAACGAACAAGCTGCAAGATTTGCAAATGGTGGGGCATATCCTCCAGATCTAAGCCTGATAACCAAGGTATTTACCCCACCCAAGTGTGGACTCTAGTTCCTTGTATCGTCTCATGTAGCCTTTGCTCAGCTCCTTTTTTTTCCCTTTCATTTTCCTTACCAGGCACGACATAATGGTCAGAACTATGTATTTGCTCTTCTCACTGGCTACCGTGATCCTCCTGCTGGTATTTCGGTAATGCTCCACTTCAGATTGAAAAATTTTGTTTTCCTTTCATCTGCTTACGTCAATCTGTCATTTACACTGTTCAATAGCCACCTGCATCTTTCACTGAATGTTTGTGACCTCTAATCATAAAAACAAAGAAAGATAATACAAGCCTAAACAATGTGTAACATAATTTTGTTTTAGCTTTGTTAACTGTGACCACCTTGTGTAACATAATTTTGTTTTAGCGTTGTTAACTGTGACCGTAAGTTAGAGTTCCTTTTTTGGGGTAATTGTCCATGTTCTCATACTATTGGCCATTGTAAAGATCCAATACTAGGAATTCTCTATTCTTCACTTGCATGATGCTTTCCATAACATATTGTCAGCATATGTGCTAGCGTGTTGTTTATATGGATATCATTAGTTGTTTCCTCTACGCTGATCCTCTCCTGTTTTGTGAAAATATTTATCATCTTAATTTGCGGAAAATAATTCATGTCCAAGATGCAGTATCAGCTCTATCTCTGTGTTCTAACTGGTTGAAATCAAACAGCAGTTTTCATTTGGGTGTAGTTGGAGCTACGCAGGGGTTCAACACCCCCCCACAGTTTTATGCTTAATTAGAATGTGATTTTATTCTTCTGGTAAATTAGGGTAACATAGACCTTAAATTCTTTTATCTGTGCAGTTTATTAAATGTCTGCCTTGGTAAGTCACAAGGTTTTCATTATAGTTTAGCTATTTTCTATGAAGTCATGCTGGATACCCTAATTGATGGATTGATTAACAGTGGATGCCAATAATCTCGACATCAACCCTTGTCTTAATTATTTGTTTCTTATGTTTTTCTTGTTGTCATTGGAGGAGAGATTCTTCGGAAAGGGTATTAACTCTTAGGTATTCTCAATATATAAAACTAATGCATGTAATTAATGGAATAACTATTTTCCTGTCATTTTAATTGCGTTTACTTTCTGTCATCTTAATCATCTAGGAGCCATTGCTGTATTTACTTTTTGTAACTGTTTCTTGTATGGTTTAATTTTTTTATTATTAGCTTTATGCTACTTAGGAAGATGCTGTTCTTTTTTCATCAATTATTTTCTACTTTCTGCTGACTGGAAAATGTAGATTCGAGAGGGTCTCCACTACAACCCATACTTTCCTGGTGGTGCAATAGCTATGCCCAAAATGCTTATTGATGGTGCTGTGGAATATGAAGATGGCACCCCTGCAACTGAAGCTCAGGTACTCCTTTCCAAATACTTATTTACATGACATGTTCTCTGTATCACTATGATTTCCATTATCATCATTAACAAATTTTCCCGTGGAAATAGATCCAGCTTTTTGACCAGATTCTATGACCATTTGTCAATCTCATGTCAATCTTTTGCATCCCATACCAAGTTCTCGGCTTAGGCTTATAGAGGATTTGCCATAAAAGCTATTGGGGAAATCTCGGATGGCCAAAATCCATATCGAATTGCGAATAATGGTAAACTATCGGGATATGTAGTAAATATCAGAGTGCTATATTGGACGATCTTTTTGTAAAATGTAATGTCTTAATATGTAATCTAAACATAATTAATAAAATCTAAGCATACAAAATATAAGTAATATACATTTAGGATCATTAACAAATTGTACAAACGTGTCTTAGGGAAGTAACTTACTAGAATTTGCTTAAAAATTTTAATTGGGTTGGAATTTTTGCCACAAAACCTTAAAGAAGTTATTGCAGAACTACAATGTTTTGCAACAAGTCATATAAAGATCGGCCTAACATATTGACTAATATATCGGTTATGTCAGGGATATATTGCCCAAAAATTGCCAAAAAATCAGTAGATGATATTGAGACCATATCATTTTACGACAAGTCTTATAAGAGGATATATCGGCCTAAATGTTGGCTATATTGGGGATGTTAAAAAAAATGCATAACAGGCTACAGAAGCGCTGGCTGAATGGAAGTTTGATTAAGCTATCTTTATTGACTGGTTTACTACTTACAACTTAACAAGAAAACTAAAAGAAATACTTCTCGACAATTCACAACCACACTGCTCCTGTGAGGCATTGCTAGCCGAAGCTTAGGTGAAACATAACTCCTTATCATCATCCGCGTATGCATTTTGTTAGCATATTCTGAAGACTGATGGTCCTTCGTTAATTAATGTAGATGGGGAAGGATGTTGTTTCATTTTTATCATGGGCAGCAGAGCCTGAGTAATACTGACATCATTAGAATATAGTTTGTGACTTTTTAATACAAAATTGATCACACCCATTATCTTGTTACAGATGGGATTCAAATGGATTTTCGTACTATCCCTAGCTCTCCTCCAAGCTGCTTATTACCGTCGCATGAGGTGGTCTGTTCTCAAATCACGCAAGCTTATAGCTGACGCTGTTAACTGATCCCCCGACGCTGTGGTTTTCAAACCTTCTACTTTTATTTATATCCAAAGGATGACAATAACGAGTCTGGATAATGTACACGATGCCTACGAGATGGAGCTTCATCTCAATTTTTCTTCTGAGATTTTTTTTTCTTCCTTCTTCTTTCAAATACAATTTTGGATGTTGTGTTGAAACGCTAACCTTTGCCTGGAACCGGCTTTTGAGGTGTTGTGTAATAATTCTTTTTGGCAGAAGCATGTTTCTGTGGTTTTCATTCAGTGACGGTTTAATAACATGCCTCAGGTTTGCGAATTATCATTGAAAGGCGATATGGAATAAGGTCAAAAGTAAGAACTAGATCAGTGAATGGAACTCTGAATAACTTTATAGCTCATCCTTTGCTATAATGTTTGAACTAGCATGTGCTAGATTTTGAGCCTGTTCTCTGTACGCATGTATGTAAATATATCATGAGTATAATAACATAAAATTCTTGGAAGATTCAATTGGTAATTGAAATTAGATCTTCTATTCAAGTTTCCGTGGTTCCGTCATAATTTGTGTCTAGTCTAATGTAAAAAAATATGAAAATATGATGGTAAACATATGCATGAGGGGTTATAACCCAGAGGAAAAGATTAACGTGGGGTGTGAGAAAAGATGTTGGTGTAGAGCAAAACATGGGTGTTTCTTTGTCCACCACCTTGAGATTGATATACACCATGTTGACCTTTTAGAGCCTTTCACTCATTCTTATGTGTGCGAAGCAATTTGATGTAGAAAGATCAAAGACTGAAACATCCGTATTAACTCCTAGGATCTGATGTGAGAGAGAGAGAGAAGAGAGAGAAGAGAGAGAGAGAGAGAGAGAGAGGTGGTGCAGTGGAGTAGTTAAGCGTGAGAATCTTGTGAAGAGTTTTTCTTTGCACGCCCTGAGCCACTCGAATCATGAAAGCCAAGGGGGGCTTTTTGGAGGCTCCCCTCCTTTTCCAATCTCTTTCCTTTTTTTTTCCTCCTCCCTCTGTGTAAGGATATAGCATTAGTGAACATATTTTGTCCGTTTTTTTAACCGGAAATTCTCGCGGGTCCCTGCCGAACCTGTCAATTTTATTTATTAGCGGTAGGAATAACCATTAAAAGCTTACAAAAAAGTAGGGTCCTGAAAAAACATTTGAACACGTGAAAAAACAAGATGTAAATTATCATAGGATGTGCGTTGTCAATTTATTAAAAAATGAGTTGTCAGAGGAAACGACGGGATCCATATTTCAATTTCGTAACTGCTTCATTTTAACTAGCATGAAAAGTCGCACCATTTGCCATAAAATGAACTATAGAGGAATACTATGAATGGCCGCTTAGTAAAATGAACTATAAGATAGGAGATTCAACACTAACATGACGAGATTTATCACTCTGTATCTCTTGACAGCTCATTTAACATACATACCACATACGAAGAGTGTTGCTACGGGGACCCAAAATATGGGACCAAGGGAGGGGACAAGTGAGGTGTCCCCACCCTTGGTCCCATATTTTGGGTCCTTAAGTCATTTTCCACACACGAATTCACAGCGGACAGGGTCATGAAAACATCTCATATATGCGGCTAACCGTTACTTGAACTTCTTCATAGAGTGGACTTATAACTTTTGAATATCAATGAAAAGAAATAATGAAAAAGGGAGGTGCAAGCTAAAACTACATAGTGAAAGCAGCCAGAGGATGAGCTTTGTCCCCGTTTGCGGTGTCATGGCAGAGCAACTTTAACGCCGCTGTCCCTGCTTAATGGTTGGGTGAGAATGGAATATTTGGAGGGAATTATAGAGATATTCAAGATCATATCAATTTTTGTAGTGTATATTTCCAAAACTTCTTTCTAGGCACGCACATTCTGCGATCCTGCCCCCAATGCGAGGAAGAGCTAGGTCTATTCTTAAATTATCATAATATAACAAACTTTAATCTTATTTTTGTATTTAATTTTGATTTTCGATGAGGCCCCTTAACTGATTGATGCTCATGTTTTAACTCTTTCACAAATCGATTAACGCATGCATTTTTTCATATAAAAGCAAAGATTTTATCCGTATTGTGAAATATATATGTTTCTCTAATGATCAGGGGCGTAGCCAGAGCTTGCTTGCCCTGGGCAGATGCCCAGGGCAAGAAACACCGCCTCTCCCACGACCTCTGCCTCCTCCCCTCGCTTCCCCTCCCCGATCTTGCCACTTCACCTCCCTCTCCCACAGATCCACCTCCTCTCCCCCTCTTCCAGGACCTCCATCTCAACAATCCCCAGCCCTCCTCCCTTTCCCGCGCCTCCCTCCTCTCCCTCACGACATACTCGTAGACCACATTTATTTTTCGTCCAGGGCAAAAAATAATCCTGGCTACGTCACTGCTAATGATAACTACACAGGGATGTGAAGACGAATATTCAGATCTGGTATGTTGAAAGATGAACGGTTCAACGCGAGGATTCGGTGCAAATGAAGATCAAAATGAAGGGGATAAGCTTAATTTTCCTATAGAATAAGTATATTTGTTTACATGTATATGATGAGCTTGTGTTATATACGTAAAGGTTAAGGGGTACGTTTCAAAAGGGAAGGCCTGTGCGTTATCGGTGTTGTGCATGCGCAAAGGGATGATGAGTTGAGACTTAAAATTAAAAGAGGATCCAAGTTGAGTTTTGAGTTTGGGTTGAGGTTTGTCTCTTTTATTTATGGTTTTGTTTCTAAGTTATGAGTCACCCACTAAAAAGTAGAGGCCTTGATCCTTCACTCTCATCATTCACCTCACCTTCTTCTTCCTCCCACTCGCTTGTAATCCCAAGGCACCCCCTATAGCTTCAATAGCTACCCATCTCCTCTTTTATACCTCCCCCTCCTTCCCTTCTCCACTTCATATTGTTCCTCTCTCTTTCATCCTATATATTTAGAGCTCATTTTCTTTCAAGTGTTTAGGTCTTTGTTTCTGCTCCACCAGTTGATTACCATGCGTTTTTTTCTTCTTTCCTCTTGGCTTCTAGTCCATTTGATGTAACCACAGTGCAACCAAATCTAGTCGTTCGTTTCTCCATCATCATGAGCTCTAGCTTCACCCACATCGGTTCATATAGCTAGCTAGGTTTATAGTAGGTCACATTTTTCACTTGAGCAGTACTCTGTGATCAATTTGTATATATACACAGTATGAGTTCTGATAAGGATTGAGGATTAGTAATTTTATACTATAACATGCTTCCGTGTCTCTTTAGTGGACGAGAGCTCATCTATATATTTTACCCAGTGCTACGTTTTCCTTAAAAAACCATTTCAGATACGCGTACAATGAGATTCGAGCCTGAACTATTTTGATCATATCATCAAAAAAATTACGAGAGGAGGGTTGAAGGTTGCAGTTTTATACACGAACTCCCTTACCATCGCTCATCGGAGCTTACTTTTATGTTGTTAAAGATACCAATCCGTGTGTCCCCTTAAACGTTATACGTGACGGTGTTGCAAGTCGGTGCTTGTGGATGATGGCGGCCGTGCTCGATGAAGCCGTTGACATTGTAGATTGTTGCAGTACATCTCGATGGCAGAATGAATTAGTGCACGACGTCGATGGATGAAACAAGCGATGTTGGTGAGGTTCAATCCGATGATTGGCTTTACAGTACAGTTTGTATAACAGTCTCGGATTGAGCCGCGCCAATATCACTTCCTCCGTTGCTTTCCTAATTCAAGTCAATGCACGGTACGTTTTTCTTTAATTTCTTACTTTATTCTCGGTTTAACTGCAAATATTATTTGTTTGTTTTAACTACAACTTCATTACAGTAGGTATGCATTGCACGCCCAATCAACTCACTAGTTCAATTACCTACGCCCTCTTTGATAAACTATTAACGCTATGAAGATGATCCGCTAGGTATCTACTCCTGTATGAATCTCTCGTAGTCAAGAAACTCATATTTTTACCCAAGAAATAAAAATCTAAGCCTCTATGGAATATTAGTACCCAAGAAATAGAAAACCTCTATGGAACCTTGTCAAATATATAGTGCTTCGTATATTACATATACGACAATATTTTTGACAACTAATTACTATAGAAAGCCTAAAACAATTTGTGTGTATACACAAACTCACACACAGAGTTATCACTCAATTTCATCAATAAGAGAAATCTTTTTCTGGCTACTAATGGATCTAACTAATACTGACAGGATTGGTCAGGCAAGAGGGAGATGGTCACAAACATGCTCGTGAACTACTCCTATTTTTCTTTCTTCTAATATATTTATAGCAACTTCTCTTGAATACGTGCACATATCACAGACATATAGAAGCTCATAAGCATAAAACTAAGTAAATTTTAGAGTAACGTTATAAATTCTCAACGTCAGTGTCTCCTCCCCCAGACTAACAGCTATCGATAATCGAATTTCATAAGTAAAAAAAAAAAATCAACAAGACCATAATCTTGAATCCAATAATCAGAAATCTTGGATAAACACATCATAAATCTCCCATTAGATAAACTAACAGGCCCTATAAATTTCACAAAGGCTCTTCATTCCACATATATGTCAATATTCGTACATATATGGATCTTCCATGTCTTCAAGATGCTATGCGATAATGTTCGCTGAAACAACAGTCCTTATTATGACTCATAGCATACAACAATGAATAAACTTTTTGTTAGCTTACAGAAGACTGATCTGTTCTTCGAACAACCTTGAAATCAAGTGAACAGAGTACCATAAAGTAATTTCTATGCCGAAGAACTAGAGATTTCTACCACACGATACAACAAGACTAATCAAAATCACACAAGGCTCTATTCCTAAGCATTAAAAATCTATAGTGTATAATCATACAAAATGAACGATACAGTACAATGCCTCTGCTCGTTGAACCTCATAAGAAATTTTTTATGAACCCAAAAACATGACATCAACAAGTTAATGCAAACTCTGCGACAGAAATCACACAACGTACAAGGACAGTGCAATTTTCTATAAAAAAACTCAGCTTCTGAAAAAAATTGGTCATCAGTCCTCATAAAACTTTAGAAAGGAAGATCACCCTCCGGAAGATCCCAGTTATCGTCATCCTCCTCCTTGGACTTTTTAGCAGCATCAGCATCAGCTTGAGCAGATGAAGTATTGAATCTCGGCACATACCGCCTACAAAAGAATTGAATGGTTACGGTTAGTTATCCTGCCATTGCGTCTACAATTTCTAGCATCAGAACTGTTAAATTCATGATGCAAGTTTCCATTGACTTTAAGCAAACAGTTAGGCAGAGGTGTTAGCTCCAAAAGCAAATGCTCTTTCACCTCTGCATTGGTATCTGATTGATGATAACTAATCAAACGTCTGAGGAAAAAAATAGCAAATGACAGAGCAGTTTTGCCATTATTACAAGATTAAAAATCATGGAAAACCAAATTGATGATATAAATTTCATATGCACTCCAACAGTTTGATTAGTTATCATTTTGTTAAATATTTAGCAAAACAGACTGTTTAACAAAATCGACCTTTTTTTGGCTCAATTTTCATAAATATTTAGCAAAACGGTAAATATTTAGCAAAATAGGTCTATTTTGCAAATTTTTTCTTATTTTTTCACCTCCTCCGATTTCGGCGAGCTGCTTCCTTCTTCTTCCGCTTCTTCTCCTCCTGAGTGTTCTCGAAGAACCGGCGGCGGCGGCACTCCTGGATGACTCCAGCCTTGGCGACCTCTCGCCGGAACCTCCGAAGGAGGACCTCCTCGGGCTCGTCCTCGTCGACGATGACCTGCACGTTGTAACCCGACTTGAAGTAGAGTACGTTGGCGGCGTTGCTGCTCAGGCCGGGCTGGGGGCGGCGACGGAGGAGGAGGAAGGAGACGGCGAGGGCGGAGGGAGGCGGAGGGAGAGGGCGGAGGTGAAGGAGGGGGGGGGAGGGAGGTTCAGGGTTTGGGGGGCGGGGTGAGGGGGAGGAGACCGCAGAGGCGGGCCATGGCGGCTTTTGGGGCTTGGTTTGGGTTTTGGGCTGCGGGTCGGGCCTGGTCGGGTTATCCTTTGTTATGACGAATTTTCGAGAGAAAACAGAAGATAACGGAACGTCTGGTGCACGTGCGATGCACGTGCCAGAGCCCGGCGAATAAAAAGCCTCGAGACCTTCGCATCTCGTCGGCCCAGCGCGCTGGGCAAAATCGCGCCTTTTTCCATGTTTTCGCCCGTCGCCATCGACTTCGACTTCACACGAAGAAATCAAAGATCGAGAGAAAATGGGCACCGCGTCGACGATGAAGCGAGCTCCTCGCAATGCCTGAAGAGGTAACCGTCCATTGTTATTTCGAACTGAATTTCTTTACTTCTAACGGTGAGTAATTGAGGGTTCGTATTAGAAAATAAAGGGCTCCAAACGCGTGCTAGTTTCCACTAATTTGGGATATTCTGACGGAGAATTGGATGCCCACTTTACTGCGGGTACAGGTGATTTTTCACGATGATGATTCTTTCTTTGCCACATTTGAAAATCCCTAGTTTCCACAGTTAGATTTGGTTGACCTAAACATGAGATGCATTTGTTTGTTTATGTTGTGAAACCACTGAAGAAGAAGAAAAAAAAAAGGAACGATTTTCTACGTATGTTGTGAAACCGCTGAAAAAAGAATGCTTCGCTACGCATGTTCGTTAGTGTATCTTTCAAATTGTAAGATGTTGTGCGCGGCGGCCAAACCGATAGGGTGCCGATAACAAATACCAATGCCAAGAGAGAAAGCCAAACTATCCAAAATAACGGCACAAACACAAACAAACGAATTTTACGTGGTTCGGCAAGTTGCCTACGTCCACGGGGCAGGACAAATAAAGATTACAAATCCACAAACTGATCTCTCACACAAAGCTCTCAATCTCTCAAAAAAAACCCTAACCAATAGCTTCAGAAAAGACTCTGTTCTGTGCACAAAACAAACCCCTTTTTAGCTCCAAAGAAAGCCTAAAACGTTGTTGCTATTTATATCAAACAGCAATCCCAACCAGAACAGGAAACCGCAATCAGGGCCAAACTCCCGCTCCGGTCGACCGACCTTGAAGCCGCGGTCGACCGGCCCGAAACACGAAATCTCAACAAAATCAATTACAGAGTTTCGGTCGACCGACAATGTGGTCCGGTCGACCGGATAGGGTCCGCGGTCGACCGACCTATCCTCGCGATCGTCTGAATAAAAGGCCAAAAGAATACCTTGTAGTGTGCTCGTTTTCGGTCGACCGGGCTGCATCCAAAATCCTTCCTGCTTCGTTTTTCCTGAACTTCTCAACTATTTTCGCCGTTTCTACATAAAATTGATCGACATAAGCTGTGACGAAGAGTAGACCCAAAGGCGCGCTGGGAAAACAAAAATGCTTGGAAATCATCTAATTGAGAAGTATGACTACAGTGCCAGAATTTCTGATAAGATACATCAAACCATTGATCAATATAAGGATGGAACTTGAGAATCTTCTGTAAATACTTTTTCCGCCTTGTTAGGATAGCATAATTATTAGCTTAAAATACTCGTGGCAATTGTTACACATGCAAGTAATTCCCTGATTGTTTCACCAGCCTCGTCCGCTTGAAACCCCTTGTGTTCACGCAACAAAACTAGTGTTAACGAACGGAGACCCGCATGCATCACATGGGATCTGTGTTTGTGTAAAGTATAAATCATTAAATGTAGGTGCTTTTGTTGCTTGATTGCGTCAAAGATTTCATAAATTCCTAGTGTACATTTCTTAACACCACAATTACAGATAGCTCATTGGAAAAATAAACTGTTTGCAACTCAAAGGACATGATGATAGATTGTTAGCTATCCTTCTGCTTAGTGTTTCCTTTTTTGAGTTCAGTATCATATTTGAGCAAGCAAACAGGCTACTACTCTGGACCTTCATAGCATATTTGTGTCTTGATCAGTGGTGATGAAGTTCTCTGTATTAGCGAATATAAATGTCCCTGTTTCCAGTTTATTCTTAATCAGAGAAATCAATATCCAAATCATTTATCCCCTTTTAATCTCCTAAGCATTAAAAAAGACCAACAATATAATTGTTTCTTCCCTTGGTGTTATTTATTTTCGTATTCCTTTCCTCGTACTTTCAATTTCTGAAAATTTTAGCTTTGTCTCATATCTGGGTTAAGTTAAAAGATTCACAATCTAAAATGAATTTGATGAAAAAGGAACTGACACCTAATTCCCTAGGAAATTTGAAATAACTGTGATTTTCATTCAAATGGAACCTGAAGATGCTTTCCAAGTTGGACATTTGGTCGCGTTCAAAATAAATTGAGTTTTTATCACGGAGTAAAAAGAACAGTTGAAAACTCAAACGAGTTGATCCTTCACACAATCATTCGTTCTGGGAATTCCTGCAATTTTTCGAAAGCAAAGGAAGAAACATATTTCTTTTGTGGAGTATTTATTACATGACTGTTGAAACCTTTTTCTTACGTTTCTTCATTTCAATAGTTTTAAGCATGTCTATTTTTTGAAAGAAAATGAAGTTGGTAAATCTATATTACTTCTATGCATTCCTTCCAACAAAACAAGTAAGGATGGTTATACAATGTTATATAGAGTCATTTAGCAATGAAATAGCTATAAGAATCTTGATATCCTAACTTTTGTCAATCCATCTATTTTGACGTCTGTGTATTTGATATGCTGCCTGTAAGAAGAGAATTATGTGGATGGCGTAGTTTAGGATGTTTACTGGGTTTTCTTCTTCTTACATGATAGTGAAATCAGAACTCCCTCAGTTTTATGCTTTAATGTGTATCTTTCGGATGTCACAGACGAGGATAAAGTAAGGTTGCATTAGGTAGCTGACAAGCAATGTAAACCTTAGTCAGATCTAGATGATATAAATATTAAAGGACATCCATTCAGGTGTCTATATCGGAGGAGAAGACTCATAATAAAACTGAATTGAAGAATAAAATTTATGTTGTCGATTCGAAAACTTGGAATAAAGGCTTTGTGATTGCTGTTGATATCTAGCTAATCCCATCTAACATCCATTAAGTTCACAACTTCGTGAGGATTTATGAAAGCCTACTGTTTAAAATAACAGAATTACTCGTGTCATGCTTGCCAGAATTTTATTTGGTGTAGCGCTTTGTCCCCAATCCCTACAAGAAGAATATGCAGTATATTTTACTTGATTACCATATACGTTTTTGTTCATATTAGCTACTTTCTTGTTTAGTTCACGAGATCTTTGTGGGTATTTGTCCATCTTAATTGAACATGTAAGAAAAATGTCTTAAGGACCCAAAATATGGGACCATTGGAGGGGACACGTGAGGTGTCCCCTCCAATGGTCTCATATTTTGGGTCCCTGTAGAAACGCTCAACATGTAAAATGACTTTTGTCTGACATCTTGCGGACACCAAATTTGTGGTCTCATGTTATGGCCAACGGTCCCACATTCTTAAGGGAGCTGGCAAGAAATTTAAATTTAAGGTTGGCCCCTCTTTCTATTTTTTATTTTCGGGTTAATTTCACTTAACCCCCTAAACTTTGGGGGTGTTACACATAACTCACCTAAGCTTTGTTTATTTCACATAAACCCCCTGAAGTTTGAGGTGTCTCACAAATTCTCCTGAACTTCAAATTTTTCTCACTGGATCCCCTACATGTAATTTGAATATAACTAAAATTTCCTTGAGAGAAAATATTCTTAACTTTTGCCATTTGTTAGTTACAGGCAATATACTACCTTTCTTAAATTTTTAATTTTTTCCTCTCAATGAAATTTTAGTTATTCGCAAATGTAGGGATTATAATGAGAAAAGTTCAAAAATCATGGGATTTTTTGTAGAGTGTGAAGATAAACAAAGGGTTAAGTAGGAGACTTAATGTGCAACTCCCCGCCCCCCCCCCCCCCCCCCGCCCCCACCCGCCACCCCACCCCAGCCACCACCAACCCAAAAAAAACAGTTCAGAAGGGTTAAGTGAAATTAACCCATTATTTCCCTACTCCATGTAATTTGCCATCCACTAGTTGTTCTACTTCGGTTGGATTGTATCATCACACGCTTATTTAATTTGCAGCCAACCGTGCCTTTTTGCTTTCCTATTGTTGCAACTTGCAAGCTCGTCTGAGGTCTTCTTTATGAAGATCACCATTATCTTCAGATATTGTTTCTAGCATTCACAGTATATTTATGACCATCTCGGTATCTTATTTCTTGCCATATTTACCCTAAGGTGCGTGTATACATGTACGTGTATGTGTGCGCGTGTGTATATACGTATATTCCGGTACTATATTTAACAGAAATAAAATTTTGTTGTGTTGGTGCCATAATGGACCATATTTGCTAACTATTTTCTTGAAAATTTTGGGGTGACTTCTTACTGCATTATGATTCTATGAATCAAGTCATGCAGTATGTTAGATGCAATTCTTCGAGGAATCAAACCGCCACGCAAACCGCCCCCACCTCCCCCCCCCCGTCTTTTTTTTCGCGCATCCTTTTATCCAGCAAAGCATTATAACAACAAGCGGTTGGCAGATTCATTAAAGGCGATTGCTGCAGTGCACGTACACTAAAAGGTAAGTGCTTCTTCAGAATTTATAACGCACAGAGAGGTTTGGAGTTACCACAACTTTCTGTGGAACTTGGGGGGCTTTCTTTCACACTTCAGCCAAGCTTTTTCTAGGATATACTTCGTCTCTTTACGGTTTATTAATTGCAATAATGTAAGGGATGCATTACAGAGAAACCCCATGAATTTTTGCGGGGCTGCGCTTGACCCCCATGGCCTGTTTTATTTCACTAAATCTTACCTCAAAGTTTCTTTTTTGGGGGAAAAAGAAAAAAGACAAAAACAAAACAAAACAAAACATTCCTTCTTA